TCGGCGGGAGGACATTTTGTGGCCCATCATCAACATCAACGTGGTGGGAGACCATGTCAGCGCCTACCTGGCTTTGCATGTGATTGATGTCCATGGGAGCAGTTTAAGCGCTGCCTGGCAGAGATTCTGCCATTGTTCGAGATTGACGATTTGAACGCGAAGCCGAAGTCATCGGGGCTGTTCTTCTTGCGCCTCGGTGCCGCGAACTTTGAAAAAAATCCGCGGCAGGTAGAAAGCATCTTGCGAGCTTGCAAGGAATTTGTGCAAGAGGATTTGGCGCACTTGCTGGATCGGGATGCTCGGACTGTATTGCGGCCACGGCTGCCTCCACAACCATTTCCTTGCCCTTTTGACCACCTCTGCAAGTGGAATCTGAAGGATTCGTATGGTCCCAACGTGCAGGTCTACAGCATCGGGAAGCAAAACAAGGAGCAAGGCAAGGTGTTCAAGCACTTTGACTACTGGGGACGCACGGCAAATCTCTGCAGCAGCCTCTCGGCACAGTGTGTGCCTTACCAAGATCGCCGCTACCCGCCTGACGACCGAATCTTGACAAAACTCAGTCAACTGGATGTGACGGGCTCGTTCTATCAGAAGTGGGAGGTGGCGAGGCTTGCAACTGCCGTGGATGTGCTCAGCTACCCTTACGTGAAGCCGGCAGACACCGTCGAGATTGAGCAACTGGTCCAGGTCATCTACCAACTGAAGGCCATCCATAGCGTTGACTTTGTGCACGGCGACATTCTTCCTCGCAACATTCTTTTTTGCAGCGACTGGGAAGGGCATCCTGCGGCCTTTCTCATCGACTTTGATCTCGGCCGGTTTCTTGCTGCTAATCCTGCCCACAACCCCGTCTATGCCTCCAATTTTGCCAGGGAAGGAAAGCCGCTGGAGCCTTTTCGTCACCCATCTGCCCGGCGGAATTTGCCAATGCAGAAGGAGCACGATGGCTTTGCCTTGGCACGTGTCATGGAGAAGTTTTTGCAGGACGATGAGGCTCGTCAGCAGCTGGTGGCTGCGTTGGAAGAGCTGCAGCTGGATGACGCTGCCACGCTGTGTCAGAGGTGCTCGCTTTTGCCGCTAGACAATGTTGCTGGGCTTGGCAAGGCCACGGGCAGTCCTCGACGTTAATGTGCCAACCTGGCCCTCCCCTTTTCCAAGTATTCCTGACCCTTGTGCTTATTTTCCGGCCCATTTTGCGCCAAAGCGACGGCTGTCATCAGTTCATTGTAGTGTCATGATTAAAACCCCGTCGTCTTGGGAGGAAAAATAATGGTGAAACACGACATTGATTTTCTTCTGTTCTGTTCTAATTCTTTACCTTTCGGTGCGATAACAGAGAGAGAGGGACAAGAGGTGCTTGCTTTGACAAATGGCAGCCAGACTGGTTTGGATTAGGCATTGGGCGCGGTTGTTGTACTGGGAAGCGAGAGCATACTGTACCGTTGATGCCCTGTTCACTCGGTCTGATGCTCTTGTCTAACTGACCCTCTTTTTGGGGGTTTTCAAGCATTCCATCATCCGGGAGTAATCAGAAACCCATCCCAATCCCCATCGGGCCGATCTCAGCACCGTTTCTTGTCTTTTTTAACGCAGGTCATCATGTCATCCTTGTGAATTTCCGAGTACCCGCTGTCACCCGGCAAGCACATCTAGAATGGGATTGAAAAACGGCAGGGCCCATCATGGCACACGTGTACCTGCTAGCATCACCCGCACGGCAGCCACAGCTGGCATCAACAGGATAACAACAGCAAAACGTTCAGGCTGCTTCAGGGCCAAAAATGATCAAAAAACCATTGAAAATTACGCCAAAATAGGCACCGGCAGTGCCACCATCTTGATCTACTGAAACGTGAAAGGGAGTGCTGATAGGGTTGTTCAAATGGCTGAGCTGTCTATCGGTGACCATGGGCCAGCCTCGACTTATCAGCACCCTAACCCTAACCCTAACCAAGCCCCCGCCCCACCCTCCGAAGCATGAACCTGCTGGACGATTGCTGCCTCTTGGCAAAAAAAACCGCTCAACTTCATCCTCTCTGCGGTTTTTTTTTTGGCAGTTGAGGTTTGCGCGCGTGCCAGCACGTTAAGCATACTTTCGTTTCGCACAGCAGCATTAACTGCTTTTATGTATACACAAACTGTAGTTACATTAAGCTTACCTTGCCTTTAGATACGTACACTCTCAACAGAAACGTATAGCTGTTTGATCAAGACAGAACAATCAAGTGGCAACGCACGTGACGGCTCGGGGCAAAAATTACATAGGCCCGTCACACTTACCCACCATGTCTTGCGCGCTCTGAATGAATACACGCGCAAGTCAAGTTGCACATTGGCGGTGACATGACGTCAAAAGTGATAGTCTTCTTGCCAACTCGTGGCTGTTCCCCGCCATCCATCCTGAAGCAGTCCTTGATCGTGGTTGTCTTCATCATCTGCTCTTGTTTGCTTGTCAATTGATTTTTGATTTTTGATTTTTTAATTTGGAGAAGAAGCATTTGTTTGTGTTTGATCTGTCTGCCCGTGCCACCAAAAACATGGGCGGGATAGTGCCCGTGCAAGCGCTCCTACTGGGCTGGGGATATTGGCGTTGTGTCTCGTCAGACAGTTGCCATGCGCGGCGGCGGATATGCCTTGCGTCCTCGATGAACGGGGCAGGGGAAGCTATTGGTTCCCAGAGCTGCCCCAGCTCAAGGGTTGGGTGGCTTGCCAAGAAACACAGATTGTGGCCATTGATGACCATCGAGCCGGCTTGGCCGTGGTTCAGCGTCATCCTGTGACAGCGGTAAGCCCTGCTTATGGCATTTCGCGCTGGTGGGAGCACGCGACTGGACTCACGATCTTGATCTTGTGAATATTGAATCAACTTTTGCTCGATTGATTGGGTAGACCTGTCCAAAGGGCCGGGCCACTGTCAAACAATACGTGTGTGACAGAGCGCTCACTGGAGTGCAGCCCCGCGGCGCCGAGGGCTGGCTTGACCCGTGGTGCGTGACAGTCCAGCGCCACGAAACGCAGGCTGCCTGTCGCGCCGAATGGAGCAAAATGCCATGCGCCACGAACCAAGTCCCCGTTCCTACCCCTGAACAAGCCGCATATCAGCGTCATGAGATTATGGGCGTAAGTTTGACGCCGAAACTATTGCATTGACCTTGATCTTTTCAGAAGGAATATCGCTGCAGATCCTGCCTTCTGTGTGTTCGCCGCTTGCTTTTGAACGACTCTTTTTTCTCCGCTTACCCAAGACCTGCCCCGCTCTGGCTTACGTCTTGACTTGGCGGCGTTGCTTGATCGCATGGTAGTTGACACACTTTAACATGGCTACTTTTGTGGAGGACGGCGATCCAGCTTGCAACCCCACCAACTGGAATGTGGGTGTCCATAGCTCACACGCCTCCCTTTTTGACCCCACACGGCTAAACATCTCCAATTGGGTTGAAAACTACCGGGCTGTGGGTGCCAAGCACGCCGTCCTCACCGCCAAACACGGCTGCGGCTTTTTACTCTGGAATACCTCGACCACCTTGCCAAATGGAACGGAGTATCCCTTTGCAGTGGCACGCAGTTCCTACCCAAGCTTTCAGCGCGACGTCATTGCCGAATTTAGCTCCACCTTGGGGGCAGCCGGCCTGGGATATGGCTATTACTACAGCACTGGCAACAACTACTTTCTCAACCGAGATGGCTTCAAGCGCATTGGCAACCCCTTACCAGGCCAAGTAGATTTAACTGACGAACAATATAATATCCTGGTCTTTGAGCACGTCAAAGAGCTGTGGACGCGCTTTGGATCGCTCTTTGAAATCTGGTTTGATCATGGGGTCTCGGCGGATCAGGATCAGCAGCTAGCCGCATTGCTCAAGCAGTATCAGCCCCAAGTCGTGGGCTTCAACGGACAGGGGATCATGACCAGCCCCATCAAGTTCGTACCAAACAAACCCGCTGCTCGATGTGCTTTTTTGCTTCACTCTTCTTGACTTCACCTGCGTGTGGGTTTTGTGCTGGTCTTTCAATTGTGGGTGAAATGTGCCGCTACACTGCGTACTTTTCTTACCTGTGTGCCTGCAGGTGGGTGGGCACGGAAAGCGGCTTGGCTGGTTATCCCACTTGGGCGACGGGCTGCTCTGTTGCCCAAGGCGATCCAACTGCCAACGGCTACTGTCCCGTTGGGGGTGACACCTACGTACGTCCAGCGATTGAACAGGGCATCCTGACGTCTTTTCATCTCGCTCTCGTGCTGCATCGCAATGAACACTCCTAAACTTTGAACCCTGCAGGTGCAAAATGGCCATTGGTTTTGGCGGCCTGGATTTGCTCTTCGCTCCGTGCAGCAGATGGTGGAGGTGTGTTGGAGCGACGAGTATTGACCGCGGTCATCTGATCGCACCACCTCACCACTTCGCGGCAGGTGTATCACATGACGGTTGGCAACAATCAGGTGCTTGAGCTGGACTTTGCGATCGACGACACGGGCAATGTACCAAGTGATGCCTCGGCGGTGTACCACGCACTTGGTGCATGGGCTCGAGCGTGCTACGGCATGCCAGTAGCCAACATGAGTGGCAACAGTAGCAGTTCGCTTACTGCAGCCCGCCTAACCGTTGACTCGGCCGTAGCTTCGCCCGTCATTCTCGCCTTTGCGGCTTTCAAACCCTGTCCCGATCCCTAGTTGTGCCACCCAATCGATGGTGCACCTGGCGTCGTACTGTATCGGAATTGATTGGTTATCAATTCTCTCAACCCTGTTTAACAATTCTCTCAACCCTGTATTTGATGCGATCGAGCATGATCGCGGCCTGACTGCCGGTGCCAATCGGCTTAGCTGAAGCTGGACGACTCTCCATTATCTCTTGACATCTGGGCCCGAGCAGCGGGGCGTGCGTGATTGCGGCGACGCTCCGAGCTCCACGTTTTCCCTTGGGTCGGGTGGCCATGTCGCCCAAGCGCAGTGCCAAGGACACAGAACACGAGTGTGTGAAGAGAAGAATCAAAAAAACAACACCTCTTCGTCTAATTATAGCGTATGTCAAAATGGACCGTTGAACATAAATAAAAGTCAGTCATTTCCATTCTCCATTTTTTTTCTTCTTTTTTTTTGAACTTGGTTGCTGGTTTTTTTTTTTTTTTTTTTTTTTTTTTTTTNGGCACCGTGCATCATGGCTGAATTTTCAGCATTGATGGAGCAAATGAAGCAAATGCAGCTCCAAAGCACAAGCGAGGAAGAACATCGCCACATCCAAGCTCAGATC